TGCAGTCTGGGGCAGAGATTCCCCAGAGGGCAGGTAGGGCAACAGGCGCTCCTGAACGTCTGCATTAGCGAGGATGGGAGCCATGATCTCTGGTGTCAGAACGCTGGCCAGATCCACTAGGGCACAAGCAACATGGCCATCAGTGGCCTGATGCCAGCCCAAGCAGGGGAAGGTGAGCAAGTGTGGCTTGTCACCATGGATACACCCAGGCTCCACACCTTAAAAAGCCATGGATTACATTGGCTGCAAGCAGACCTCCCCCCGAGAGTACAGGCAGCTCTTTACCTTGCTGGCTGCCTCCTGGCCCTGCAGGCACATTCATAGTGGCCAGAATGTTCTGGAGGTCACTCAGCTGGATGGGCTGGGTCGGGCTGGCTGCTGTGCTGGTTCCATTACCTGAGCTGGGTGCGGGACTTGGACTGGTGGTAGAGGCAGCTGCTGGGGCAGAAGGGGCTGGGGTGGCGCGAGCGGAAGAGGTGGTGGAGGATGGGGTGACGGCTGCCGACTGGCTCCGGGAGCTGGGGAAAGTGAGCAAGGGCTGGAACAGCTAGGCCCACTACTCCACCTCCCCTGGTACAAGCTCAGGTGTAACGGGGACCCCTCAAGCCCACCTCCTAAGTAAGGTCTTCAGAAAAGAGAATGCAATGGCTGGTGGTGGTGCCTGGTACCCATGTCAGACACTGGGGGCTCAGGGCTCACCTGGACGAAGAGCTGCTTGCCGGAGGCCCGCTGCTCCCCAGCAAGCTGGCCAGGCCTGGTCCAGTGAGGGCTCCAAGCCCACCTTAAGGAGTAAGGAAATGTGTGCTAAACACTTCAAGCCCACCTGAGAAGGCACTAATCCCGCCATGTCCTCAGACCCACACACGCAGGCCACAGGAAGCTAAAGTGATCTGAATTCTAAAACCTAGTCTACTGAGCCAGGCCGTTTCCACTCTATTCCCATTCGTGCTCAAGAATAGGCCACATCTTGGCCAGAACAGTGCTAAGTGTCTAGAGCATTTGCTATACCCACCCCAATGTGATCATCCCCTGGCTCTGCAAGATGAACTCTACACACAGGTGTCCAACCATCCCACCCACCCTGCTTATACTCAGCAGAGAAGCACCTTCCACAAAAGGAGGGATACAAGGAACATGTGGACACAGACATGCTGGGGAATATTATTTTCAGGTGTGTGGCTTTTATTTCTGCTGCATTTAACTCAGTGAAGTTGTGTTACTGTGCCTGCCTAACACACCTGGTGGTCCTGATAGAGAGCTGAATGGCCAATATCGAGGCAGAAACAAGGATAGGCGGGGCTGGCAGGCAGAGAGAATAGAGGAGCAGCAAGAGAACAAGGAGAGCAGGATGTCAGGGGCCAGCCAGCCAGCCATGGCGTAAGAAGGAAAGTAAAAGCCCACAGGGAAATGGTAGAAGGGTTAATTCAGAGTAAGAAAAGCTGGTTAGAAACCAGCCAAGGCTAGGCATTCATAACAAAGAATAAGCCTCCCTGTGTGAGCTGGGTGGCTGACCCCTCAAAAAGCCAAAAGAAAAAAAACACCTACAATGTAGTGGTGCCCAATGTGGGGCACCAATTTTTTAATTGCTGTTGTCTTTTAAGCTGTCCTATTCAGCAAATGTCACTCTGCTGAGGCCTCAAGAACTGAACTGACGCCTAAGGGATTCTGTTTCCTGAGGCACTGACTTTTTCAACTTACTTAAATCTCTGTCCCACTAAAGAACTCAGGATTCAAAGGTCCAGGTAGAGTCCTGCTTCCCAGAGAGGCTGAATAGCAAGGAGCTCACCTACCTCACTCCTTGTGTCTCCCAAGACATCTGCGTGTTTTCACTTGCCCCTCCTTATAAACTCTTTTCAACTGGTTCCTCCCTACAGCCTCCTGACAGCAGGTGAGTTTTATTTAATCAAACACATCTTTGCATCATTAAACTAATGTTCCAGAGCATAAACAAAGGTAACACACCTTGAAATAATATTCTACAATATAGATGTGGCTGCAAACCTAGCAAAAGGAGCTGGAAGGAAACTGTCTGCAAAGACAGCTTGTGGGAAAGCTAGGGACAGTGGGGCATTACCCAGTCCTCCAAGGCCCGCTGGTCCGATGAGCTGCATGAGCTGGCTATGACTCATGTTCCCCAACAGGCTCTGCAGTCCACCCTCACCTGCAGAACATAGGAATCAAGACATGGGCCGGCAGTGGCCATGGCCAGGTCACTACACATTGCTGACTACGGCAGATGCCTGGCCTTGGCCTCTGGAAGGAGGCATCAAGGACCAGGTGTATTTTGCCCAGTAAAGATGGAGTGAAGAAAATTAAGCAGGGCTCTGCCTTACACTCAATCTACCATTTCACCGAAGAACACTGCCCCCATAAGGACCAGGTGATCATTACCGCCCAGTGCTGAGAGCTCATGGCCACCACTCCCACTTGTTCCCAGTGCTCCAGGCATGGGGGGGTTGTTCAGACACTCGTTGACTTTCCGGCAATGCTCTTCATCTTGGTCAGTCTTGGGCTCCTGCCAGAGAGGATAAGCAAAGAGCCAAGGCTGAGCAGTCTGCACAAGGAAAGAGCTGGCTCATGCCTGCTGGCTTCCTAGCACCCCGCACGGCTAGCCATCCTGATCCAGCCTACACAGTGACTCGAAATGCAGTTACCTGCAAATGTCATACATAGCACCGGAGACAGAACCTAGCCTAAGCCCTTAAGAGACATTGAGTAATGGCAGCAGCAAGTATGGGCCCCAAAGCCAACGAGAAGCCTAGAGTGCCTTTAGAGATAACAAACTAGCCTGAGGGATGGGTGGCCCCAAAACTTCGGGATAGAGTGCTGTGTGGCCTCTATGCTTGTGGCAAAGGGGCAAGAAAGGCATCACAAGAGTGAAACTAGGAAGCATTAGTGACGTACGTGTGTGTGTGTGTGTGTGTGTGTGTGTGTGTGTGTGTGTGTGTCATTAACGTTCAGAACTGTGGATAAATGCTCTGCAGTGAACAACCCCTACTATCCTCAGCTGTGACCAGAACCCAGGCTGACAGGAAACCCCTGCCTTCCCGGCATTCTGGAGACACACAGCTGCTGCCCCTTTGGACAGGATGACAGTGGCGGTGACTGTCCACACTGAAAACATGTGCTCTGCCCCTGAACATCCCCCAGGGCTAGCTTCTGACCCTAGACTGTGCCCTTATACCCGAGAGAGAGCCCATGTCCCATACCAATGCAACACCGCATTAACAGCATAAGAAACACCAATGTCAGTGGCCTCCAACAGGGCAGAATGTAGAGACACCAAAAGGTCTCCAAATACACAGCGCAGGGGAGCTGTGGGGTGGGGTGGGGTGGGGGTGAAGAGGCGCTCAACTGCTGAGAGAACACCTAAAGGAAGACCTGAAGCTTGTGCCTGTAGATGACTCCACGGGCAGGGAGGGCTCATGTAACCATGAGCCACTCACATAGGTGGGAACGCAGCTCTGCCAAGCCCCCAGTCAGCACCTTCTGGTGTGGAGAGTAAGCTCAAGTGTATCACAAGGAAACAGAGTGGGCCACTCCACTCTCCTGCATACCTGCATCCAAAAGAAGAGCCTCTTGGACCCCGCCTTAAACTTGAGCACGTAGACCCTCCCGCTGGGGCACTGCGGCACCCGCTTGAACTCACAGTCATCAGGAAAGATAATCAAGTCCTGGGGACACAAGGGGGACAGTCAGCCACGCACATACCACCGAGGTTTACGCCCCCTGGAAACCTGCTGGACCTGAGTCTAACAGGGTGGGTCCACCAGGCTCAGACTCCAGAGAGGACAGGTGGAGGAGGGCCCAGGGTGGTGGGGGTGGACGGCGGTGAGGGCCTGACGACTTTTAACAAACACGTTCTGGAGCTGTGCTCCAAGAAGCAGAAGGTCAACCAAGTGTAACAAAGAACAGTGTAGTCTGACAAGACAAAGAACCTGAAGTGGCCTCTTGCAAGGGCTCACACTACCCCGCAGCTGTGGTGAAGGCCAGACCTGCACAACACTGGAAGTTTAAATGCAAGGCTGGGGCTGACTTTGTCATCCTGTCAGCAACCTGTCACTGCTAAAACCTTCAGGACCATGGTCACCATGGGGGGCATGGCTTCACAGAGCGGCTGGGCCCGACAGCCCCTACACCGACCAGTGGTCCCCACACTCCCCTCTTGCCCAGAGCCTCCGCCGGCCCGGCCCGGCCCGGCCCAGGACTCACATCCTCCACGGTCCCAGAGGTCCTGTCTTTCCAACAGAAGTGAATGAGGGAGTCGTCCGTCTGCTGGATGTACACGAGCCCTTTCCGTTTATCTGGGGTGACCGTGGTTCCTTTCAATGACATTTTCCCGGCCCGGAACTCCACCAGGTACTTGGTGGAGGATCCCCGAGAGCCGGGCACCAGGCTTGGGAACAGAGCGCCTGAAGTCGTCATCCTGGAAAAGCACAGCGAGCTCGGCCTGTCGTGCGGTGTCGCGTGCGCGGTGTCGCCCACCCCACCCCACCCCACCCCACACCCGGGTCAGCCCGGGGGTCTGCC